CTGTGATACACTTCTAGACAATCATTTTACGTTTCCGAGGACAGTAGGCGGGTCCAGGTACGTACGTTCTTTTAGAGCAGAGCTACAGATTAAAAATGCCCAAGGCGAAGCGGTCAAAAGTCTGGCTGTACTTCACAGCAAAAGATGCAAACTCAGCAGCCTGCAACAAGTGCTTTAAACTGATACTGTGATACTGTCAAAGGAGGTAACACCTCGAATCCGATGAAACACCTGGCGACGCATAGCGGAGTTTTTTTTAAAGCCAAGAAATGCGCTGTATTTGATAGCTTGCTGCGAGACCTCACACCGAGCACATCTACTGCGGGTGGGTTGCCTGTTATCAGACCCGGAGTTAGCAACATCCCCAAAAACACGAAGAGGAGAGTCCTGGCCCCTAGCCCTGCCAGTGTAGCAGAAATGATGACGGATGATGATGCAGCAGCAGCCGTTCTTCTCTGCGTGAGTAGCTTAATGTTGTTTGTGTGTAATTTACGTTGAGTAGGCTCACCACGTTATTACATTAATGCATGTAAGGTGAACTAGCAAACATCATCATAGCTACATGCGGCTGTCTTCTTGTTTGATGGCAGATACTCCGTTCACCCTGGCCAAAAAGGCTAAAATGACCAAAGAAAAAGAGGGAAACGGCTAAACATAACCCTAACCACAATTACATCCTAATCCCCAAACCCAACTCTAATCGCCCCCTTTTGTTGGATCGTTTCCTCAGGTTTTTATCCACGTCCCAAAACTATGGCATCATAAAAATGTGATTGGTCACTTGCAATGTTAGACCTAGACCAACATACTGATAATCTGGGAACAACACCAACACGGGGATATCAAACACACCTCAGAGAACCAAAGAGAAAGAAAGACAGGACAACTTTTGTGTTGCCATATTTCATTCAACATGGGCTTTCGCCCTCTTTCCACACGTACAAAGAAAGAAAGTGCCTGCAACACAACAAGAACACTCAACAAACAGTGCCACACATTAACACACTTGAGCAGATTAGCGCAGAATTTGCTGACGGTCGGTACTGAAAATGCAGCAGAAAGAGCTGCCGCACAACAAACACCAAGAATACCATCTAAAGCTGCCTTTGTTATGGCCCAGTCTGTAGATCTGGTATGTTGGACTGTTACTTTTAAAAAGGCTCTAGCTGTACACAGAAGCAACATCCCTCTCCTTTAACACAACCAGGAAAGCGGGGGAGGGGAAAATAAAAGGAGTAAAATCCGTTTCCAGAGCTCAAGAGATGAGGAGAAGGAATATTCAGACCGAGAGAGTCTGAATTTGTAAACGATGCCTGCAATAACTCGCCGTGATGGATTTCAATATTCACGTAACTGCCTTTCTTCTTGAAAAAAAAAAAGAGACAAGCAGTTTGTGTTTGTGTATTATGTGTCCGGGTGCTTGGATAAGTTCCAGGTTTAACTCGAGGAGATGCGAGATGGACGGGAATTTGTTCTGCATCTCAGCTGCTGACAGCTGCGGCTCACTCTCTGGCTCGCTCGGCCATGTCGTCTCATTCATTAACCAAACCTGGCAGGGTGGTGTGAGTCGCAGCCAACAGGTAAACGCGCTGGGATTTCTGGCCTCGCGCAGAGCCTGCGGTGCTCGACGCTGCGGCCGAGAGTCCTCTTTTTGGTTGGGCTGTGGTTGGCTGTGAGAAAGTGCAAGATATTCGAAGGATTTATCTTTGTAGACCAGGCAAGTGTGTGTGTGTGTGTGTGTGTGTGGGTGTGTGTGTGTGTGGGTGTGTGTGTGTGTGTGTGTGTGTGTGTGCACGTGCGTGCGTGTGTAAACTCTGAACATCAAAGCTGCAAAAAGAATATTTTTTCCAGATTGCAGAAAATCAGGAGGGTCTGAGGGAGGTATGCAAAACATTGAGGTGGGATAAGCGTGTTAATGTTTCTGTGTGTGTGTCTTCATCTTTAGACATCTTTGTGAGGACAGAAAATTGGCATGCTATTATACTTGTGGGGACCAACAGTCACTTATGGGAACAAAATGCCTGTCTCCATTAGTTTGAAGGCACTTTTGAGACTCAAAATGTGGTTTTAGTGTCAGAGTTACAATTAGGTTATGGTTAGATTTAGGCTAAGTGTTAGGCATTCATTTTTGATGGTTAGGGTAAGCAGGCTAGGGAAAGCATTATGTCAATTGAGATGTCCTCACAAGATATGAAAACAGTGTGTGTGTGTGTATGTGTCTGTGTGTTGCGCGGGGGGGGGGGAGGACAGGAGGAAAGCGGCCTCAGCAGAGCAGTGATTGGCCTGTGTAGGAAGTAAAGATTGTGCCTTTACTTCTCGATGCAACCGTGATGAGATCGCACAACACAAGTCATCACACAGAGATCTGTAATGATGTCCCACAGTTACTGCACGCAGACACGCCCAGAGTACAAACACACGCACACACACACACACACAAATAAGTACATAGGCTGACTATTTGTTGCCACCTTCATCATTAGCTCAGTGGCTTCAAGGTTCAATATTAAGTAAATTACCTTGCCGTTAAGAAGCACAGCGTTATCATTTTACCCCCGGCGTCCAGGACGTGTGTCAGCAGCAGGCGAGGCTCGTGTAGTCGCTTTGACCGGGATACATATTTGTCTTCACACCATGAGAACTGCTAGCTGCTCAAAAACAACATTCACTCACATCGAGTGATGGAGACAGACACGTTCTGTATCAAAAATCAGATTCGCTCTACAAAGTCTTTAAAACTATACATGGTGGGCTTTTGTGTACAAATACACTCATCTTATTATTGAGTCAATTGACAGAACAGAGCTGCAAAAAGCTTCTTGTTCTACCCGATCAAGACGCTGCAGATTCATCATCTCCTTGCAAAATGCAAATGTAGTTTCTTTAAATTGAACTCGCTCATTTTTCTTGCTGATATTATAATTTGACATTTCAAGTCCTATTATGCACAAAGTGATGCTTTGCTGCACCTGTTTTCACTCTGGAAGTGGCGAAGGCTCCATCAGAAGCCAAGAAACCACGTTGACTCACAAGGTAGAGAAATATAGGATATTGCACAGAAATGACTGGTGTAAAATGTAATTTAACCAAACATCTGATGTAAAAGCTATCATAAAAACAAATGAGAGAAAGCTTTAGTTTATCAAAAGTACTTCTAGCAAAAAGCCGCACACAGGCTGCTCTGCACATGTACACAACAGAGAGTCTCATTTATGACAAACCAGCAAGAGAGAACAAAGAAACAATGAAAACTTATAGCCAGCTGAGGACTAATAGTTCATAGTGTGTGGCATTGTGGCTTAACGTGTTACACGCTTCTGGGAGATCATACCCACTTGACCCAAGATACAGAGCACAGGAACAGGTGTTAAAGGCATCAGGTGACAAATTACACATCACTGAAACATCAAAATGATTTTGAAGCTGAAATAGCTGCAACATGTTCCTTTAAGACCAATTTGATGCGAGGCATCAGTGTGCTGAAAAACTGCTTTCTTTTTTGCAACATTTATCATGACCAAAAAGAAGAAAAGAAAAAAGCCTTGTGGAAATGTTTTAGTCATTCGGAGCATTTTATAGCTCTCGATATTTCAAAGAGTGACTTTCAGCGTCTCATTGCCTGTGGGCAAATCACTGCCATCATTTGTCTCCAGATAGGCAGCTCAACTCAACCGCATTATCTCGGGTTTTGGCGCCACAGTGTCCGATGGTCTCTTTCTGCTGGTGAGCTATTTGTTTCCAGCACCTTTCTCAACCAAAGCATTTTCTCCAAATGTTACACACCATCCTTCCTCTGAAATGACCTGACAGAGGATTGATTTCAAGCCACAAGGTAGCTAACTGGGACATTTTACAAGGATATCTTAGGATTAGAGAGGCAAAATCTTTCTTCTGTGTGATTCGCTTATTTCATTTCCCCCTGAGATTATGTTACAGCTTTCACTGATGTTAATTGCAAACCTACTTTCGTGTAAAAGACAAACAGTGAAGCACTCTTGAGAACATGCTCGAGTTTGGAGCCATCGGTTACTAGGCAGGTTTTGTGGTTTTCCTGAAGACGGAAATACTTGTTTCTCATCTGCTTTTGCTTAGACTCATTTTCATGATTTATCTCATTATATTAAATTTTAAGGACTGGTTTTTTTTCTGCAAACTTGAGGCACGTGGGCTGGAAAACTTATGCACAGCTGAATCTAGGCACAAAAAATGCAGGTTTCAGATTTTCAACGTGCACCACAACAGGCTGGTAGACCTGTAACACGTTCTGCAGAAAAGTTGCCCAAGGCACTGATCAAGAAAGTGCGCTGACCTTTGAACTCTGATCCCTGCGGTTGCTTACTATTCCCCATACACTCCCACACACAGGCTCTGACGCATGCTATTTCTCAAACACACACACACACACAGGCAGATGGCCCTCATGCTGCACACCTCCCCTCACCCTTGTACTGTGTCCCACCGCCTCTATAATTAATGGAGCAAGCCCTGCTCGAGGTCTCTGGTAGGATAAAAAAACAAAACAAGGAAGTGTGTGTTCATGAATATTTACAGAAAACAGCATGAAAATTTCACACAGAAAGAAAAAAACAGATTATCCCAAAGTATCTTACTGTATCTTACTGTGCTGAAGGCTTTAAAATATCCTCATCTTTCTATGTGTGTGTGTGTGGTATCACTGGTTACCACAGAGGCTCTGTATCCTCAAAGCTAATTGCATAAGATTGGCTCTGTCCTCCAAAAATTCATTTAGAAGCTAATTTCTTTCTGTCATGGCCAAGTGATTTAGCTCTCTCCTTGAGACAAACCAGCTAGAGCCCTCTAAAATCCTTATGTTACAAAAAAAATCAACTTAGTGTTCCCCAAATAGCCAATTTCCTCCACATGCTTTGGAAAATAAAATGAAGCCGATGATGTTTGTCTCCAATTAGACTGCAACACCTGAAGATAATTCAGATCCAGACTGATTCCTAATGCGTGTATTGTGCGAGTGTTTTACTCACTGAGAAGCCTGCCCAGAACGGACAGGAGTGCCGGACTCTGGGTGATGTGGTGAGAGCCAGAGCCGCGAAGCTCACAGCCAGGATGAGACTCCCGAGGACCATTTGAGAGACTCCCAGAGCCAGCATGATCCTCGTCCGGGTACGGTACTCCCTCAGCCGGGACAGACTGCGGGACAGCGACGCCGGGCTCAGAGACCCCGGGCCGCCTAAGCCACTGCTGCCGCCGCGGGGCAGCGCGTTCACCGGCATTGTGACGAAACGATGCGACCGAACCGGGTTACAGAAATGCAGGTGTAGCAAATAAAGGTAACAACATCCGATCAGAAACAGAAGCCTCGCGTATTTGGCCCGCAGTGATCTGGCAAACGGCGTGAGTCGAAGTCAGAGTCCGATGTGGAAGATTTTCTCCATCACTTAAGATGCTCGGAGTCCCTCCAATTAGAGATGCTCTGCGGCTGATGGGAGGAGAAAGGTGAGCAAAGAGCGGGCTGGACGAGCCACCGGATGTTTACCAAAATACGCACAGATGTTCTGGACGTCTTCAAGTCGAAACACGGACAATAAACCTCCGGAGTTCCTCGCTGACTGCTCCAACAAGAGCCCATTCCTGAAAAGTCAAGACGCAAAGAGAGGAAAAAAGCCCCAAACGCTTCATCGTGCTGTCAGCCAGCCTTGCACCATTGTCAGGCTGTCATGCTCGCCTCTGCAGGCTCTCCAACAACTCAAAAGCGAGGGCTGAAGCCTGGATAAAGACGCGCGTGGACAAAAACACACACACACACACACACACAATGAACCCACACTCCTCCTAAACGCACTAAAACGCCTAAACGTTTGAGCCCACGTTGATGGGTTTCTTTTTTTTCTGGGTCTTTAAGTGTTTGAACACCCCCCTCTCAGGTCTGAGCGAGCGGCTTTTCTCTTCTTCGGTGTGAGAGGCACCAGCCGTGCTTTTCACAGACGACAGCAAATCTAACAGCCAGGACAGGAGATGCACACTGCGTATTGGAGATGTGCCACTCTGTGCGTGTACATGGCGGCGGGCTACACGGAGTGTGTTTTACTCTTGATGGTGAAGGAGGGGAGGAGGACTCCTGCGCTATCAGGAAACAATAAAGACTAAAAATATTAGTAATAATAAAGAAAATCTGCCCGTAATTTGTTACTCCTCCTGATGTGTAATTGGTTCATTAAAATAAATGAAAGAAACTGACATTTTAAGTCCACGTGTGTCTGGATTTCATGGCTTAAAGTGAGTGCGGATTAACCTTAGCTCCAGCAGCTCCATCGGGGCATCTAACATTGACTTTGTCCTGTCCTTCATCACGCAAGTAAAGCTTCACTACAGGGGAGCTCCGAGGAGTTAGACCTTCCAATTATCATCAGTAAAATATGTCACAGGTCTGAGTTTGCCATGCAAAACAAAGTCCGATACGAATACATATTAATTGTGATCACTAACATATCCAAACAAGATTTCTCAACTTGTGCTGGGACCTCACGGTTCATAGGGATTGATAGCAACCTGCATCCTGCAAGGCTCCTTCAGCTCTGCAGATGTTGTATTAAACCGGTTTTACAGGTGCTGCGTGGTTTTCTTCACGCATTTTATGAAAAATATTTCAAGCAAAAACCATTAAAGTCGCGTCGATACATGGAAAAATAATAATAATAAACGTTACTTCCACAGCTGAAAGATTAGCTCCGTCCTGCGGAAAAGACCCATTCACAGCTCACCAGCGCCACCAAGCGGTGAGCAGCGGTGATTTTTGTTTTTTATTTAAATCACAATATACTCTAATCTGTTTTTTTCCTTTTTAGTGTCATAGATGCTGCTTACTGCTTTCTGATTACTAAGTGCTACATTTATTTTTTATTAACCCTGAAATATTTAAATAGTGTAAATATATTTTATAATCCATTCATGACTGTAAGTCCATGATAAAAACGATGAAATCATATTTTATGTATCAGCTGCTGAAATAAAATATAGCCAAGCATTCATGTGGATAGTTCAAACAAAAATACAGTTTATTAAACTGGTTATTTGAAAGATGTCCTCAACACAGTCTGAACTCTGTCAGGCAGCTTTCTTTTAATTTCTTTAAGTAGTCTTCAGGAATAGTTCGCCAGGCTTCATGAAGGACACTCAAAGCTCTTCTTTGGATGTTTGCTGTGTTTTGTTCTGTTTCCTGTTAAAATGATCTTACACTGCTTCAATAATGCTGAGGTCCCGCTCTGGGGAGGCCAATCCATGACTGACAGTGTCATGGTGTCGTTTTTCTGTCTTTTACTGCACTGGCAGAGTGTTTGGTATCGTTGTCATCAATCAGACACTTTTCCGATGGAATTGCATGGTGGGCCAAAATCTGACCTCTGACAAATCCAATGTAGACATTGAGTGTTGCACTTCTCTCCTGAACTCCTCTGTATATGTTGACCATAATTCTAACCACAAATTTCCAATTTGGATTCAATTTTCCATAAAACTTGTTGCAGTGGGTCTTATGGACCTTGTGGTTTTATATCCAGGTATGCTTTTACTGCATTAGCAGTGTGTTCGAGGTCATTGTTATGACCAATTATCTGAAAAGAATATAGAAATGGGCGGTTTCTTAAAACCTTTTGCACTATACTGCATATTATATATAAATACAATACCCATCCATCCATCTTCTTCCGCTTATCTGGGGGCAGCAGACCTAAGCAGAGAAGCCCAGCTCTCCCAAGCAACCTCCTCCAGCTTGTCTGGGGGAGGACCAAGGCATTCCCAGGCCAGTCTAGAGATATAATCTCTGCAGCATGTCCTGGGTCTGCCCCGGGGCCTCCTCCCGGTGGGACATGCCCAGAACCCCTCACCCAGGAGGTGTCCTTATCAGATGCCCGAACCACCTCAACTGGCTCCTTTCGATGTGGAGGAGCAGCGGCTCTACTCTGAGCCCCTCCTGGATGGCTGAACTCCTTCCCCCATCTCTAAGGGAGAGGCCAGGCACCTTTCGGAGGGAGCCCATTTCCACTCAGAAAGCAGCGGCGGAAATACAAAACCCTGTAGGTTAAAAAAAATAACTAAATCCTTATCCACTCTTTAATTTAAAAATGATTTTATTTATTAATACAGTGGTATACTTAAAATTGTGTTGCAGAGGAGAAAAAAAAAAGTCAGCCACAAGTGAAGAGCTAATATCCAATAAAGCCGTGTTATATCTAAAAGTAAAACAGTACTGGTGTGCCATACGTAATATATTGTCTATTAGTACAAAAATACATTTAAGGGCACACAATATAGCATCCAGTATCAGAAATCAGTGAGAGGGACACTTTGAGAGCACACCCTTCCAAATGAAGATGTTTTAAATGCATCTGAGCCACAAAGACTTTCCTTAACCCTACGTGGACAAAGTAATAAAAATAGAAATAAAATTTTAAAAAAGACGACCTTTTTGAGACCGTAAAATAGCGGTGGCAACATATCGGTAGAAAAGGTGTGATGTATTATTGTTAGGTTACAATTCAAAGGCTTGAAGGTATGCCCATAATACAAAGATAACCACTTTCACTTCCTTCTGCTTTTTTAAAACATGTTTTCTCTAAGTTTTATACAAAAAAGAAAGACATACAAAAAGTTCATTTACAACAAAAGAGAAACAAGGCAATATGCTAGCTTTATTTACAGCCACTTCTTCTCAGATGGTTTTTTGTTTTTAAGCAATGCATAGCAGATAAAAGAAGAGCATACCTTTGTTATCTTTTATCAACCGTTTCTGCGTGTGCTAAACCCAAGTTTATTTATACAGAGGGTTCACAAAAAAATGGCAAAACAAATGACATTATACCATAATTTATCATAACTTAGTTTTTTTTTCTTAATGAAAAGTGAATAATCTGCAGATAAGGCATCACTGCTTATTTGTGTGAGTGCAAAGAGTGCACAGAGAAAGGAAAGATATTAAGTAGATGTGAGGAAGGAACCGAGGAGGCTACTGGACCTGAGTAAAGAACATGCATAGATCTCCCTCAGGCTGGAAGGAGAGAGGTGGTGCTCAGTAAGAGAGGAAGTTACAAAAGGTAAGAAAAGGAAGAACAGAGTGAGAAGTGTAGGAAGAACGCCTCTAAAAATGTGCTGCTGCTTCTTGGGTTCATGTCTTGCCACCTCCTTAAACCAACTGTATCAAACCTTCAGTAAGATTCCTTCAATGTGGAAGGGGGAAAAAAACAAACAAATAATTCAGTCCCCTGCACTGAAAAACAACAAGATGTCGACTGGCAATCGAATTTGAGTCCAATTTGAAGTAAATATATATATATACTGTAGGCATATATAGCATAAATACACTGACACAGATTTTTCAAGCATGTATGCTGCCTCAAAAGCCATACATCCATCTATACTTTTGTAAAAAAAAAAGAAGAAAAAAAAAGAAAAATTACATTAAACATTGCTTTATATATGAGTGTCAATCGTCAGTGACGTGGGGCATGCATCATTTTACATCAAAACTTTGAAATTGAGTTTAAAGAACAGCTCGTAGCGATCATTGGTGTCTCTCCTTCGTCCAGCACTGTCTGGGTCTTCTTCATGCTCTATTATTCCGTGTGTTTGTTTGCTTGGAGTGCGTCTGTCAGTGTGTGTGTAGTGGTATACGTGTGTGTTTGCGTGCGTGCCCATCGTCTTCATTTCATCCGCCATTCTTCCACATTCGGTAACATCACACCTGCTGCCTCTTCTTTAAAAGTGGTCAATGAGCACAGAGACACAGTTGGCTCCCACCAGGTAGTTGGGGTCTCCGGTGAGAGACTTGTTCTGCCAGCTTTTTGGATCACCTGAGGACAGACAGATGGGGGGTTGATATTAGCTGCTTTTTTTTTTTTTTTAAATGTAAAAATTCACACCCAAACCTCTCTTTAACAGTCGTGAACTCGGGCTTTCATTTTAAAAGAGCCCTGCCTGCACGAGTTAATGATATTCATGGTTTGTGAGCCACGTTATGTGAATGTTTAAAGCCCGTATCAGAGGCGGAGGAGCGCGAGAGACTAGTAAAACCTCTTTGGTGTTTTTATTGAATGTCCCCAGCCTCTTGTTGACTGCAAATTAAACCTTGGTCACTGTGAGGTCTGAGTGTAATTGCAATTATAAACATGCGTATCTGTGCCAAGAGGAATCAATCAAAGGAGGCAGAGCGAGCTCAGCAGAGGTCCATCAATACAGGACTGACCACAGTGCATGTCACAGTGTGTGTGCAGCCTCTTCACTGATACAGCCATACTTTAAAAGCTTCTTCTTAAAAGAGAAACGCTCCACTTTAGATCTGTGTCAGACAGTCTGTGTCTGACATGAAAATACTAACTGGTGGACATCTCTCTCCATCCCCTGGTGCATACGTGGACTTGCTGCTGGCTGAACTAAACTTAGCCCAAAAAAGTAGGAACATTTGTTTGGTCGATAATTTCTTTGTTGTAACGATGCTTCTTGGCGTTAAACTCTTACACCATTGGAAAGCTGTTTTATTTCCCCTTAAATGTTGACTCGTTTATAAGGAAAATGCTTTTGTTGGTTGAGCAGCAGAGTTGAGTGGTTTAGTGTTGTCGTTTACTGTATTCTGAAGAAACAAGACATGTTGTCAGTTAACAAACAGGGACCTCGGCAGCATGTGGAAGAACCTTAAATAGCCACGATAGCTTGGCTCCTCCTCCTCATGCTGGTCACCAAGTTGTGGTTGTGTTGGTCACAGAATAAGCTGTTTGGCATTGGCAGAGAAGATCTGGCAACGCAGACACTCAACTCTGCTGCTCAACCCACATTTTTCTTTCAAATGTGGCACTAATCAAGAGAAAATAAACAGGCTTTCCAACGGTATAAAATTCAATGCCAAGAAGCATCGTTACAACAAAGAAACAATCGATTAAACACAAATTTCCGTGCTTTTTGTGCCACGTTTAGCTGTCATGTCACACAGTAGAAATGAGATGTCAGGTGAGCATCGTGAAGCTTTCCAGGATGATGTGAAAACAGCTTTCTAGTGTCAAACTGCACATTAATCTCCATAGGGATGTTCTTACATCCAAAAGAAGCAGAAATGAGTAAAAACACATATTTTGTATAGAAGAAGGGGAGGGCTTAATCTAAAGACTCGGCGCCAGGGAAGAGATTAAAGCGAAGATAACCACGTCTTCTGCTCAGGTAAATTAAAAGCACCACTTATAACTCAGATGAAAGCCTTAATTGAAAGTTTGTTTACTGTGGGCAGGCTGTGGCTCTGAAGGTATAGCACGATGCAACTAATTCCCAGTGGTCAGACCAGCACTTACATGGCCGCTCACTGTCACAGACGTGCGAGCTATAGTTCAAGCGGCTGTGTGTAAAGTGCTCTGATTAACAGCACCGACTGAGGCGCAGGTGTAGAGCTTATATGTGCAGAGTCGACACCTGTTTGCCTTTTTTCTGAGAGCTGTTAACGCGCCTCACCAACATTTATCTTTCCTTTTTAGTCCAAACAGAACACAAAAACGTTCATTTCGATGAACTCATTGGCCGCTTGTCGGCTCTGCACTCGAGCTGACTGCTTATGGTGCTCGACATAAGCACAAAACAAGCTTTCAATTCTGTCCTTCAGTCATCGCCATGTTCTTTCACACGCGCTTCACAGAGCGCCTGTAGCTTAGACACTAATAAAGTCTGTCTGCAAGTAATTCTTGATGTTCATGATAATTGCAATACATTAAATTTTATCCTACGGAAGGCAGAGAGCCAAAATGCCGACCTTTAAAACTTCAAATAAAAAACTGCATTTGAGTTATGAGTTCCGGGCTTTCGCCTCCTTCCTTTGATGCCAGTATGTGACCTTACAAGAATAGCCGCCAACTTTCTTCCAATGTGGAAGTCACAAATCTCATACCCAGTTGTCAGAAACTATTTTGTGGCGGCGTATGTATGATAAAGCAGTTAAAAAAAAATCTGCTTTAAATTGCATAGAATAGAAAATATCAACCGAAAGTGACACCTGAGAGCAGAAATCTGACATTTTACTTACAGATGACAAAAAAAACCCTGTCAAAACAGTCGATTAAGTTTCTGTTAATCACTCATTTCACCCTCACTGTATCCTTAATAAACATATATTAACAAATACATTACAGGTGTATCCTAAAATGTGTGAAAGGAGGTCCCGTTTTGTTTGTAATGAGCAAGAACTACAAACAAAACAGTCGCTTATCTAAGTACAGCACCGTAGCTTCATCTCACTCTCTGGTCACTGATGGGATCAACCCTTCAAATATACTACGATGCCAAACTTCTGCTTTTTATTAGAAACAACAAACAAATTCTTCTACAGAGCAAAACTGCATCACACTGGCTGTAATGTAAGTATTTAAACAGAGCAGAGATAAAGGGCGCAACAAGAAGCAGAGACTTGCAAACGGGTGAAAAAAATGAAAAAGAAAAAAGGAGAGAAGCACAAAGCAAAGTGCGAAGAAAACCACAGAAGGGTACAGGAGGAGGCCGGAGAGTGGCCTTGCTTTACAATAAGAGGATTACGACGCAGCCCGATAATCCGCCCACAATTCAGCAGGACAACAGAGTGAGCTGACATCTCATTCAGCCTTCCATGTCTCATCCTTAAAATGAGGCTAATTAACAGCTAATCCTGACCACTGCCAAAATGACCACTGTTTTTGAAGATGGGATATGGGAAGAACAGTCTGAAAAAAAGGCTAATTTAGCTGCTTCCCTCGT